TATAGTAGAGAGAGAGAGAGAGAGAGAGAGAGAGAGAGTTTCAACAAGCACCTGCAAGGCAGGACCAAGACTCTAGGGTCCTATATTAAACTAGACTAATTTCCTCTTGTTTTGTTACAGATGCATGAAAAAACATTTGGCCAGCACACACAAGGGAAGGATGTATGTGCAACTATTTTATTTAGTATTATGGGAAAAAAAACTTTTCGATAGGATGAGTATAGCTGAGATGAGGATGTTGAGATGGATGACTGGCAAGACAAGAAAAGATATAATTCAGATTGAATACATCTGATGGAACTTACAATGGCTCCAATAGGTGATAAGATGAGAGCAAATAGACTTAGGTGGGTTTGCCATGTGCATTTGGTTCGAGACTCTAAAAAGGCAAGGGGAATACCCAAAAGGACTTGAATGGAAGTAGAGAGAAGAAATATGGTGACTTATAGCCTAACTCATGGTATGGCCCTTGATAGAGCACGATGCCAGGATAGGATCAGTGTGGCAGACCCCAAATAGTCGGAATAAGGATCAGATGATGATGAGCATAATGATTATGGGCAAAAATAATTGTGTCTAATGGACTATGAAACACCAGGTTCCATGGACTCAATCAGCATCCAACAGAATGGACAATGATGGAAAGCAGGACATGACCTCCATAGTGGATCCCGCACTCTCCCATCATTATCCACTATTTCATTGACGATGACGAACTCAGTCCGCCATGTTTTTTATGGTCCGTTGGATTATAGTATAGTAATATTGGAGTTGTTCGAATTGACAGCCAAGAAGCATTTTATGATACAATGCATAAAATGTGCAAGGAATTTCAATATTGGATGTAGCAGAAACCGTAGTAACCTAGACAACTTTCCACAAGGAAAATAAACCGCAAATATGTTAACATTAAACAGATCCACAAGCAAACTGAAGAGTCTCAAGGTGTTAATGATCATTTCCAGAAAGCTTGCAGAAATAGATATGTTGAAACAATTCAAGACAGTTTTGGAAAATTAATAATTGCAACACTAGAAGAAGACAAAGTGCGAACCATAACCATACCGTGACGTCATCATTTGTCTGGTAATTCCTGTTGCAGACCACAACCTGAAGAAAAGAAGTATTCATGTCAAAGTAAGTTCATTATCTATGATGCAGAGATCATTTGGTAACAAATAAATATCCTCAACTAAGAGTCGCTAGCAGACACTCAACAAAAAATTAAATCAATTACTCAAAGAAAAGATGAAGGGATAAACCTGGGTAATTTCGCGATCATGAAGCAAGCTATAGAACTGTACGCCATAATTTTCAGTTCGTAGGGCAACTAATCCAGCACTGGAAACAACAGCAAATCCATTACTCCATAAGCCCTCATAGATCTCTGGAATGGCAAAAGGAAGCTGAATACACAGTGTAAGAATTGTGTTTAGCAAGCTACAATTATCTTTATCTCAAAATAACTGAGAGAAATAGCTACAGTCACAAATAAACATATCCATTGAACCAAATCTAGAATTCCTCGAAACTAAAGAGGAATCCCACAAAGAAAATGGAGCATCATAATGATTATATTACAGAATAATATGAAAGTAAACATAAGAAAAAAGATAGTCAGATGTAAAAAAAAAAGAAAAGAAAAGGAAAAAAATCTAGAATTTACTCCAAAAAAAAATCTAGAATTCCTCAAACTAAAGAGGAATCCCATAAAGAAAATGGAGCATCATAATGATATTATTACAGAATAATACGAAAGTAAACATAAGAAAAACGATAGTCAGAATAATACGAAAGAAAACATAAGAAAAAAGATAGTCAGACGTAAAAAAAAAGAAAAGAAAAGGAAAAAAAAAAGGAAAGTCAGACCTTGATTCCTGGGATGGACTTCAAGACTTTCATTGCTTGCAAATTAACAAGGTGGATTTGATTATCCGCAGAAGAGATCTGTAAAAACAAACACACTAATCACTACAAAAACTAATTCATTTAACTGCTTCAAATCTGAAGCTCCAAAAAAAAAAAAATTGAGCCCCAACATTTAAGAAGAACATAGAGAAGCCAGTATAACAATGCATTAAAAGATAGTTCTCCTTTTAATTATTGTTAATACAATCGTAGTTGGTATTCCAGTAAAATACATGGTTCCAACACCATACCACGGGTCAGAAGAACTTACTTTGGATGCTTCCCTCCCACATCCAGAGCCAAGACATCATCGAATAAAAACAAGCATACAAACAAAAAGACAAGCAGCTTGTAGGCCTAGAATTCACCAAAAACAAAAAGAAAGAAAGAAAAAAAAAGGAAAAGAAAAAATAAGACAAGCCAGTGTGCCTAAAGCAGCATTATCCTCATAAAACAATAGAACTCAGAAGAGCATTATGTAATGTCTGACAGAATGCCAGTAACAAGCCCCAATGAACTATGCTCAAGTGTAAATGAAGAAGACAAGAAGACAACGGTTTTGTCATAGCATCATTTAAATTGCAAAGAAGAAAATTATAGTGAGTCACATAAAGGTCTCCAATTCTGTAAGCAGCACATCCCAATATGTTGATAAATTGACAACTGAGCGAGTGGAGAATAAGTATGCCGACTCCTTTTGAAAGGAGAATTGCATCTCTCCCTCCGAAAACTTGACCTCTTTCGAAGAAGGTCTCACTCGTTCTTCAGCTACTCTGGCTGATGTCCAGAGTAGTGGGAGGGAGTCGGAAACCTATGCCGAACTCAAGGCCTACTATTATTGGAAACCCAACTTTGGAAAGTTAGGTTCTTTTTGGGGGAGGGGGGGGGGGGCTCCTTTTAGCCATAATAAAACTGGCTTGCTATAGGATCTTTCGTGTGGCCAGTAGGTCTTGCTCTTGGGGCCAGCATAACGAGTGCACATGACAGTGAAACTGTAATGAATCATGTGGGAAGCTGGAATAGATTGAGGAGTTATGTACAGGACTCTATTGCAAGGATTTCGCAAGGCCCCTTAGGCTGGAAATAGGCCGGGTGGCCTGGCCCATCCTAGCCCTTTTTTTCCTTCCTTTTTCCTTTTCTTTTCTTTGAGTCTATTAGGCCCCATCAGCTCAGCCCAGCTCAGATAGGGCTAGGGCCAGTCTGAGCAAAGGCTTTTTTTGCCCAATCAAGCCAAATCGACCAGGGCCCAAGCCGGCCTATATGAACCAAGCCCGGCCAAGGGCAAAGGCATGGGCCAGGGCCAGGGCCAAGGCTAGCCCAGTCCAAGCCCGGTCAGTTGCCAGCCCTAAAGATACCTCTCGTGGTGTCAACAGGTTAAGGAATTCCAGGCTGGGTGGCTCTTAGCCCAAACCTGAGTAGCTAGTTTAGGAGAATTAGGGAGTGCATAAAGAAAGGAGAAGGGTCGTGTTAGGGTGGCAGCCAACGTAGAACTTTTGCCACATCCATTTCATGAATCATAAACTAATTTCATATGCTCATGCTAGGGTGTCCCTGTAAGCGACGCACTGTTGGTGACTTATGGTCTGACTAAGGATATGGCCCTTAATAGAGAGGAATGACATAACAATATTCATGTACCTATTCCAAATAGTTGGGATACAACTCAAATGATGATGATCATGAAGGGGTGCACAAGAAGTTGTAGCTTGAAAAATACATAACTGACCTGCAAAGGAAACGGAACCCTTTATCAATACAAAGAAGATAGCGAAAAAAACACAATTGGGGGACGCTTCTTGAAGGTTAAACAAAGTTATGTTATTCCTTTGAAAGGCAAAGAAGCATTAGTGGAAAGCCAAAGAAAGAACTTTGTAGCATGCCCTTAGGAGCTTCAATTTAACCTACGACTTTGTTGGGTAGAAACAAATAAGACCCAAAGCCTTTCCATTGTGCGTGAAACTAGGGTGACCTTAGGTTATATCATCCCGTAATCAAAGATTAATGATCAAGTGATTTTAATAAATAGGGAATCAATAAAAATAATAAAACTAGCTAATTGACTAGGACCATCTTCCCACTGCTTCACATGCCAGGGAATCAAGTTTCACATAAAAACGCCTAAACACATCTAAATATGTGCCAAAATGTTGTTGCATCAGTAGTTTTTGGCTGCTGTGTTGGACACTTCTTAGACACATTATAGTATTAAACATTGACATCAGTGTCAATGAGCAGGCAATACCAAGGTCCAGTGTAATGTTTACAAGTATCATAAAGAATACAAAAAAAAAGTGCACATGAGAAACCTACCAATCAGATCAACAAGAACATGAAGCATGCAAAATAGCTGAAAAACATTGCAAACAAATGAATCTTCTTTTTGATAAAGATAACAATTCATCATACAAATTTGTCGGCTATACGAATCCTGGTCTGCCATTCTGCTCTATTAAAAGCCATACCCTCAGGGCGTGTTTGATAACAGGAAGCAAGAACATGAACTGGAAATTGGAAGTTACTGAAGAACTGTAAATTAGAAGTTACTTAAAAAATTCATAGTTTCTATGTTTGATAACCTCCCTGAGAAGTTAAGAAGTTCATAGTTTCTGTCTTTGATAATTGTTAGTATAATATATAATATAGTGTATTTTTTATTTTATTATATAATATTATATTACATAAATGTATAATATATATATATAACACAATAATGTATTTTTTATTTATTTTATTATATATATATATATTTATATAAAATAATTTAGTATATTGTACATTGTATTCTATATTTATTCTATTAATATATATTTTTATTATATAATATTATAAATATCTATTATATTTTATAATATTTATAACATACTATAACATAAAATATATTGTATTTTATATTTATTTTTAATATGTATATATGAAAGTATCTTATATTACATAAATATATAATATAAGAAAATATGTTTTATAATATATATAACATAGTATAATATATAACATATTGTATTTTTTTTATTTTTTTTATTAGAATATATATTATATATTATACAATAAATATATTATATTACATAAATGTATAATATATATATATAACATGATAATGTATTTTTTATTTATTTTATTATATAATATATGTTTATATAAAATAATTTAGTTTATTGTACATTGTATTCTATATTTATTCTATTAATATATACTTTTATTATATAATATTATAAATATCTATTATATAAATAAATATAATATATAATAAAATATATTATATCTTATATATTATAC